CGTAACTCGGATTTTGGCTAGCAACTCAAAGCAAAAAATTGACCGAGTGACAGCTCACAACTCGGAAAACTCATTGGGGCACTCATAAGTCAAGGTACCACTGTATCTTAATAATTTTGAAAAAATGTTATAGATGGATTAATGAAACTGTCTATAGTAACGTAATACAGTATATGACAGATAAAGTGCCCCAGAGCAGTTACTGTTATTATTATGCTTATTGTTATCAACATGCCTTGCTTACCAAGTTTAATTACTTTTAACTTGGCATTTCAAGTAAGAGGCTTACAATTCCTCTTTTTATCATGGCTATTTATTATTATTATTATTTTATTATCATACATGAGAGAGAACGAGACATGGAAAATGCAAACAAATTTAGTGTAAATTGAGGGCAGTCAGACAAACGTGTATTAAGACCTGTCCACTTTCTGTTTATACACGTTCATTTCATTCTATGCATGCTTTTGTGAAGTTTTCCCTACAAGACAAATGCTTTACATTGTGTACAAGATGTCCTCACATTGGTGCAGTAGAATAAATAACAGCAACACTCCCATTCTCATGCAAAACACCATTTTTAGAGGAATGATGCGATGAGTGAAGGCATACGAAAGGAATATTTTTCTACAATTACCCCAGTAATAGTACTATAGTGTACACAGCTTTTCTGGTGTTGAATTAGAGAAAATAGAATTTTTGCCATCACTCCTACAAGCTGCCTGGATACCACATCTCATATTTACATCAATTTGTTCTACTGTCGGTGTATTATGTTTATACGATATGTATACTATATGTTTCTTATATAATTTTGACAAAATATCATAGATAGATTAATGAAAATGTCCATATTAACCCGTAAACAGTCCAAACTTGTACATATGTTCACTACCCCAGTGCCCCAAATACAGTGGACCCTTGAGTTTCGGCAGCATCGACTTTCATGAAATTCGACTTTCAGCAAGTTTTTTCGGCAAAATTTGGCCTCGAGTTTCGTGATTAGACTTGTGATTCAGCGACCGTCCAGTACCTGTCTGCCCGTCACCGCGCACACAAAGCCAGTCTCCCATGCCATTCACGCTCAGTGTGCCACTGTGTACCAACATGTGACCATCACCCCGTGGGTTCATATGTAATAATCCATTGTTTTTTGTGATTGCAACTGCTAAATAAGTCACCATGGGCCCAAGGAAAGCTAGTGCAAGCCCTTTGGTAAAGAAAGTGAAGAACACGATCCAGAGGGATTTTGAAGGGTTTGAGGCAGACCCTGACCTTGCCGACCCTCTGCCTGTTGTGGAAGGTGTTGTGGCATTGGGCAAGTCCATGGGGGTTGGAGGTGAGTGACGGGGATGTGGAAGAGTTGGTGGAGGACCACAGGGAAGAGCTAACCACTATGAACTGCAAGAGCTTCAACTGGAGCAGCATCAGACCACAGCTGAGGAACTTGCTTCAGAGGAGGAGGAAAAGAGAGTGAAGGAGGTGCATTCTTTGGTGATTAAGGACATGTTTTCAAAGTGGAATGAGTTGCAAAGTTTTGTTGAAAAGTATCACCCTGACCAAGTTGAAACAAGCCATATCTGCAACATGTTCCGTGAGAAAACCTTGTCCCACTTCAGGCAAATCATAAAGAAATGCCAGAAACAGACCTCTCTGGACAGATATTTTGTGCGACAGGGGTCCAGTGACTATCAAGCTGTTCCAAGTGGCATTAAAAGAAGAAGGGAAGTAACCCCAGAAAAGGACTTGCTACCTGAAATCCTAATGGAAGGAGATTCTCCTTCCAAACAATAGTGTACACCTTCCTCCTATCCCCTCCTCCTGTCTTCCATCCACCCAGAAGTCTTCAGTAAAGGTAAGTGTAATGTTGTTATTATTTTTTATAAGCATGTACTTGATTTCTGATTGTTTTCAGTATGTAAATCTTTATTTAATTTGAAAAAAATATTTTATTTTAATATTTTTGGGTGTTTGGAACAGATTAATTTTATTTCCATTATTTCTTATGGGGAAAATGGTTTCGAGTTTCGTGAATTTCGACTTTCGGCAGGCTCTCTGGAACGGATTTAATCACGAAACTTGGGGGTCCACTGTATTTTGAAAAATAATTTTTTTTTTAATGAAAATAAAGAGCACATTTTTCTAAGTGTTACAGGATAAAAAAAAAATAGGGTCAGTACTTACAGAGATATGAGGCCAAGAAGTTGGCACTGGATGCTCATGTGACAGCAACAATGAGTCCTGCCGCTTGCAGAAGTGTTGCCGATATACCTTTTTTTCTATTTTTCATATGTGGAAGTATATAATAATAATTCTGTAAGCCATGCGTGTTGTAAGAGGCGACTAAAATGCCGGGAGCAAGGGTCTAGTAACCCCCTCTTCTCTTGTATAAATTACTAAATTTAAAAAGAGAAACCTTTGTTTTTCTTTTTGGGCCACCCTGCCTTGGTCGGATACGGCCGGTTTGTTGAAATAATAATAATAATAATAATAAGTTCCCTTGAAGCATGAAAAACAAGCCTCAGTCCACCCCTGACAGTGACATGATAACATTAGATAAGAGCTGACATTTGATGAGCACACGCATGGGTGCGGTGATAAGACTTGATAAGACAAAATTAGAGGTGACATCGGCCCTCCCTTTGTTTTTGCTGGTACACAAACATGTCTGTCTGTCTATTTGTCTGTCTGTCAAGCTCCCTGTCTATCTGTCTATCCATCTAGCTCTCTGTCTCAGAGACAGCCACAAGACTGCGTCATCACTTTTACTCATATCTTCAAGCAGAGTATAGCACTTTGTCTGGATTTTTTGGGTTATCCTAGGTAATTTACACTATATTTACTTGTATTTATGTGTACCTGTGATAGACAGAGACAGATAGACAAAGACAAAGATGGACAGAGACAGAGATAGACATAGACACAGACTAACAAATGGAGCCAGGCTGCCAGCAGCCGGCCAGCCACGCAGCGGGCCAGCCAGCTGGCCAGTCGGCCAGTCAGCCAGTCAGCCAGCCTGGTGAACAAATATTATGTTCCAGAATTGTTTCTCCTTACTGAGGGCATAAGTTATAAGACATTCTGAAAGGGCGTTGCACAAATGTTGCACATGGATTATTATCGAGGTTTTTTGATATTTCCTCGACCACTTATGGTCACATCCACCCCAAAGCCACTAAACTTGGCGTCAACATCACTTTCCTCTTAAAATGGGAGAGTTAACACTACGTGAAATCAGTGAATCCCAGGTGTTTGCCGCGCTGTTTGCTCTAGCTGGCGCTCATTTGAACTGGTGCTCCCACAAAGTACTAAGTGGTCCCAGATTTTTTTAATGCAGTGCACATTGAGTGTTATGACCCATTTATACTGACAAGGCATCTCAGGAAAATCGTGCCATATTTGAGAGCAGGAAAAATAAAACGTTTACATACGTTTGGGGCACCAGCGGTAAGAAAGTATATGTACATTTGGACCGTTTATGGGTTAATGTAATATACGACATTTAAAGCACCCCAGAGCGATTATTATTATGGCATCTTCAACACCAGTGAGACACTCTTAGTGATTTTAATGTGCACCTGCACACCAGTACCGTAAGTTTATTTAGATACAGGTACATGTAGGTACCTGTACCTAAACTTTAAAACTTAAAACACTTTAAAACACTTGAAATTCTGGAAAGTTTCCAGATGTAATTAAGAGATGCAGAGGTCATGGAGGACGTAAATAGTGGTGCGAGGATGCCATAATAGCATATCAGAGCTGTATAAACAAATTTTTGGCCATAATTTGAATTTTTTTTTTTTCAACAAACCGGCCGTATCCCACCAAGGCAGGGTGGCCGAAAAAGAAAAACGAAAGTTTCTCTTTTTAAATTTAGTAATTTATATGGGAGAAGGGGTTACTAGGCCCTTGCTCTTGGCATTTTAGTTGCCTCTTATAACACGCATGGCTTACGGAGGAAGAATTCTGTTCCACTTCCCCGTGGAGATAACAGGAAATAAACAAGAACAAGAACTAGTAAGAAAATAGAAGGAAACCCAGAGGGGTGTGTATATATATGCTTATACATGTATGTGTAGTGTGACCTAAGTGTAAGTAGAAGTAGCAAGACGTACCTGAAATCTTGCATGTTTATGAGACAGAAAAAAGGACACCAGCAATCCTACCATCATGTAATACAATTACAGGCTTTCGTTTTACACTCACTTGGCAGGACGGTAGTACCTCCCTGGGCGGTTGCTGTTTACCAACCTACTACCTAAAATAATTTGAAATCTTTCTTTTCTTTCTTTCAACACACAGGCCGTATCCCACCGAGGCGGGGTGGCCCAAAAAGAAAAACGAAAGTTTCTCCTTTTACATTTAGTAATATATACAGGAGAAGGGGTTACTAGCCCCTTGCTCCTGGCATTTTAGTCGCCTCTTACAACACGCATGGCTTACAGAGGAAGAATTCTATTCCACTTTCCCATGGAGGATTATTTGGAATGTCCTCATATATTAGTGAATCGCCATAAAGCAAAGTGCCGTAAAGCGGGACCCTACTTATATTAAGTTGCGAAAATTGGCGTTTTTTTTTTTTTTTAACAATGGAAGCAGAACACCCATAAGCAATACATCAATTACATGCCTGCCTGTGGGACCTAGGCAGTCACAGAATCCAGATATAAGGACTTTTTGGATTAAAGTGGAGATTAATTCATAGCTAATCCTCCTCCCCTACTGCCAAGTATATGAGATTGTTATATTAGTACCAGAGGGTATCGTCTGCTACATTCCCACACCTAATTTTCACATAAAACTATCATCGGAATATTAATAAAAGCATTACTCAATACAAACTGTAAGGTTATGAAACCTGAAGTTGTGAAAATGTAACATAATTTATGTCAATCACAACAACAAAATGAGATTATCAAAAAAATAATATAAAATAATTAACTGTATTCACAGAAAGACATTTTAGATAAACTGTTCTCAAACTCAAAAGAGCATACCTGTTCTTCCAATTCCTGCAGAGCAGTGAACAACTATCGGTGGCCCCAAAGGATGTCCACTCCATGAACTGCCCAGGGCAGCAGTTAAGCGTGCCTGTGATTCCCGGACATGATTCAAGAACTCTAGCATAGCCATAGCAGAGTCTGGTACACCATAGTCTGGCCATGACGTAAACTGCATATGTTCTACTTTTCTTTCCTCGCTGGACTGTAATATAAGAAAGGAAAATTTACAATACTGTGCATGAGTAACATGTAGATAACCTAATTAACTGCATATTATTATTATATTTATGGTGAACACTAAACACGTAAGGGGTCAGTGTCTATGGAATAGGAGCTAATCTGATGAAGAGGTTAGCTCCAATTCCTTGGATCACTACCCACCTTATGGGCATGACCAACTGCAATTAGTGGTCCTGCCCACTTGTGACCACAACTGTAACTGCTGCACCTCTACCACTGGCACCACTATGAACACAAGAATGTAAGAAAGAAGGAACTCTGCTGCAGGCCTACTGGCCCATGCTAGGCAGGTCCAACTCATATCCACCCACACCCATTCATATACTTGTCTAACCTATTTTTAAAGTTACTTAAGGTTTTAGCTTAAATGACACTACTTGGAAATTTGTTCCACTCATTCACAACTCTATTACCAAACCAATGCTTTCCTATATCCTTTCTGAATCTAAATTTTTCCAACTTGAACCTATTGCTTCAAGTCCTGTCTTGGTCAGATATTTTTAGCACGTTATCGACATAAGAACATAAGAAGGAACACCACAGCACGCCTGCTGGCCCATGCAAGGCAGGTCCAATTCTCCCTACGGCTTAAGCCAATGCCTTGACCTAGTCAGGTCAGTTACATTCACTTAACCCTTTGAGGGGTTTCGGCCGTACTAATAAGGCTTACGACCCAGGGTTTTTGACGTACTAGTACGCCTAAATTCTAGCGCCCTCAAGTCTAGTGGGAGAAAGCTGGTAGGCATACATATGAAAGAATGGGTCTATGTGGTCAGTGTGCGCAGTATAAAAAAAATCCTGCAGCACACAGTGCATAATGAGAAAAAAAAACTTTGACCGTGTTTTTGGAATAAAACAGCGACTTTGCACTGTATTTTCGTATGGTATTCTAGCTTTCTTGGTCTCATTTTATAGAAAGGAAGACATAGTATTACAGAAATTGAGATGATTTTGACTGGTTTTACAATGAAAAGTACCTTGAAATTGAGCTCAAAGTAGCAGAAATGTTCGATTTTTACCAAAGTTCAAAAGTAAACAAATCATGCCAAGCGTCCAATACACATCAACTGGTGAGTCTAATATTCTTTCACAAGTGCGCTGATATTATTTATACCATTTCTACACTAATGCAGTAGTCTGCATAACAGTAAATCTATTTTTTGTAAGAATAAAAACTGAAAGTGGACAGCCAAAGAAATATAAGAGGGGCCTGGGGATGTGACTAACGAACAGAGGAAATGTTATTTTAGTGCCAGGAATGTCTTTCTTGTTCATTCTGGACCCTATTTGGAAATTGGCATCTTTTGAAATTTGTGTGAGATTGGCAAAATTGCTAAATTCTGACCACTGTATTGGATAGTTGAAATCAGTAAATGGGTGGTTTCTTGTACTCATTCAATAGAAAAAATGGAGTTCTAGAGAAATAGTTATGATTTTTGTCAACTAGTACACAGGAATTGGCCGAAAATAGGCCTCAAAGTGGGCAAAATTGCCAATGCGTAAACATCGTCGAGACCGTTAACTTCGCGAGAGCATAATTCCCTAAGTTTTCCATCAAATTTCATACTTTTGGTGTCATTATGATCGGGAAAAGATTATCTATCTATTCATAAGAATTTTTTTTTTTTTTTTTTTTTTTTAAATTTGGCCGACCCTGAGAACAAGTCTCGGAGAGGGCCTGTCGACCCTGAAAGCTTTAAGAGAGGAGCATCATCGACCTAACAGCACAAGCTAGTCAGGTCCAACTCACACCCACTCATGTATTTATCCAACCTATTTTTAAAACTACACAATGTCTTGGCTTCTATGACAGTACTCGGGAGTTTGTTCCACTCATCCTGTTTTCCATTTATACACCTCAATCATATCCTCCCAATTCTACATCTCCATCATCTCCTTGCATTAGGTTAAAAACAGTCTATTGTGTAGGGAGTCTCTCTCCCATAGGTAGTCAGGTGTTGCACATGTGTCTGTATTTCCTGAATTAGCATGAAGGTTACAATCATCATCAGCCTTCCTTATGAAACGAAAATGTCATTGCCTATGCAAGAATCAGTATTGCCTTTCTTAAGAATCACCACTGTATCCACCCTAGAGAACCACCATGGGGACAGCTTCCCCAGAATTTGTAAGAAAGCAAATGGTCCAGGCTTCTCTGGTGGCTTGCATGATCACTACTCGTAGAACCCGGCTTGTCTGTTCAACTAATATTAAAAAAGTTTTGGTTCTTGGACACTGTTCACTTCAAGTACATGACTAGCAAACCTAAGAATAGCATTCCAACATCTAAGTAAGGAGTCGTTCGTGACTCTGGACACCATGTGCATCAGGCCCATATTGGAGTGTGCAGCACCAGTTTGAAACCCACTCCTGGCCAAACACATTGGGAAATTAGAGAAAGTGCAAAGGTTTGCAATGAGACTAGTCCCGGAGTTAACCCTCTGAGGGTCGACAGGCCCTCTCCGAGACTCGTTCTCAGGGTCTGCCAAATTAAAAAAAAAAAAAAAAAAAATTCTTATGAAAAGATAATCTTTTTCCGATCATAATGAGACCAAAAGTGTGAAATTTGATGGAAAACTTACGGAATTACGTATGCTCTCGCGAAGTTAGCGGTCTCGGCGATGTTTACGCATCGACATTTTGCCCACTTTGAGCCCCATTTTCGGCCAATTCCACTGTACTAGTCGACAAAAAACATGAATATTTTGCTAGAACTCCATTTTTCCTATCGAATGAGTGCAAGAAACCACCCATTTACCAGTTTCAACTATCCAGTACAGTTGTCAGAATTTAGCAATTTTGCCAATTTCACACAAATTTCAAAAGATGCCAATTTCCGAATAGGGTCCACAATAAACAAGAAAGACATTCCTGGCACTAAAATGACATTTCCTCTTCATTAGTCACGTCTCAAGGCCCCTCTTACATTCTTTTGCTTTCCACTTTGAATTTTTATTCTCACAAAAAATAGAAGATTTACTGTTATGCAGACTACTGCATTAGTGTAAAAAATGGTATAAATAATATTGGCGCACTTGCGAAAGAATATTAGACTCACCAATTGATGTGTATTGGACGCTTGGCATGATTTGTTTACTTTTGAACTTTGGTAAAAATCGAACATTTCTGCTACTTTGAGCTCAATTTCAAGGTACTTTTCATTGTAAATCCAGTCAAAATCATCTCAATTTCTGTAATATGTCTTCCATTCTATAAAATGAGACCAAGAAAAGTAGAATACAACAATAAATACCATATGAAAATACAGTGCAAAGTTGCTGTTTTGCTCCAAAAAAACTGTCAGTTTTTTTTTTCTCATTATGCACTGTGCTGCAGGATTTTTTTTATACTGTGCACACTGACCACATAGACCCATTCTTTCATATGTAGGCCTACCAGCTTTCTCCCACTAGACTTGAGGGTGCTAGAATTTAGGCGTACTAGTACATCAAAAATCCTGGGTCGTAAGCCGTACTAGTACGGCCGAAACCCTCAAAGGGTTAAGGGGCATGTACTACGAGGAGAGGTTAAGGGAAATAGACCTGATGACACTGTAGGACAGGGGGAGGGCATGATAACAACATATAAAATACTGAGAGGAATTGATAAGGAGGACAGGGATAGGATATCCCAGAGAAGGAACACACCAACAAGGGGCCACAATTGGAAGTTGAAGACTCAAATGAGTCACAGGGATGTTAGGAAATATTTCTTCAGTCACAGAGTTGTCAGGAAGTGGAATAGTCTGGAAAGGGAGGTGGTGGAGGCAGGATCCATGCATGGATTTAAGAGGTATGACAAAGTTCACGGAGCAGGGAGGGAGTGACCTAATAGCGACAAATGAAGAGGCAGGGCCAGGAGCTATGACTCAACCCCTGCAGCCACAATTAGGTGAGTGTAAGAGCTGATAGGGGCAGGAGATAACAGAAGTAGTAATAGTAGAAGTAATAACTGATTAGTAGCAGTAACTGCTAGCAGTAGTAGTACTAGGAATAGTAGTTGTAATAACATAGTAGTAGTAGTAACTGGCAGTAGTAATATTTAATGATAGTAGTGCTGATGATACTGTGCTTTTGGGAGATTCTAAAGAAAAATTGCAAAGGTTAGTGGATGAATTTGGGAGTGTGTGTAAAGGTAGAAAGTTGAAAGTGAACATAAAAAAGAGTAAGGTGATGAGGGTACCAAATGATTTAGATAAAGAAAAATTGGATATCAAACTGGGGAGGAGGAGTATGGAAGGAGTGAATGTTTTCAGATATTTGGGAGTTGACGTGTCAGCAGATGGATTTATGAAGGATGAGGTTAATCACAGAATTGATGAAGGAAAAAAGGTGAGTGGTGCATTGAGGTACAGTGGAACCTCTACTTACGAGTTTAATCTGTTCCATGACCTTGCTTGCAACTGGATTTGCTCGTTTGCAGTCAATTTTCCTCATTTAAATTAATTGAAATGGAATTAATTCGTTCCAGTGGAATTCCAGGCACGAGAAAATACTTTAATAATTTCCCTAATATCAACTCTACAGCTTATTTATCTATCACAATTCATGTAATGTGACATAATAAACAATATTAATAACACAGAAACATGATATATACACTAGAATGAATAAAATACATGTCATTAGGTATGTGGCTAGTGGTGGTGGCAGCAGCCATTGTTGTTGAGGTTTATAGGGCCACCACAGCGGCCATTCCTGCTCCTGACTACATGTGTAGAGAACCTAGGACAACCCAAAAAAGTCAGAGTGACTTATAAGTGCTACACTCTTAATGCTTCACTTAATTGCTATACTCTTAATGCTACACTTAATTGTTACACTCTTAATGTTACACTTTGCCACTGCTGCTTCATGTTGTCTGCCACTGCTGCCTCATGATGTCTGCCACTGCTGCTTCATGTTGTCTGCCACTGCTACCTCATGATGTCTGCCACTGCTCTCATGTTGTCTGCCACTGCTA